TCAGATAGAAATTAAAAATAAAACTGCGTTTGGTAGTTTTTTTAAGAGATCATTTTCAGTATAAAAAAATCGATTAATGTTTTTTTCTCTCTTTACTCGAGAATGGAGAAAACGGAAATAAAAAATAAAAAACGACTAAAATTTATTTTTTATTTCTCTCATTTTACGCTAAACTAAAAAATCGTTTTCATTTTCGTTTTTCGTCTTTAAGTGTACCAAGCGCCGTTTTTCTTCTGTTTTCATTTTTTTTCTCAAAACACGTGAAAAACAAAAATGAAAACAACTTTAAACACACCCTTAATATATTTGAGACAGCGAAGTTGGAAGCAAGGGAATTTAGGTGTGAATGGGCAGGGGATCAAAATGGTCTCGTTTATTTCACCGATTCGAGTTTTAAGTTTTAAGTTTTTACAGTAAAAAGTTATCAGAAAATATCACATCTAATTTTTTCTGCTACAGTGAAAAGTTCTCACAAAGTGTCACATCTCAGCTCGAATTGAAAACTCGAATCCGCGAAGTGAACGAGACGCAAGTGATCAGCTTAACGGCACAGTGCTTTGCAGTTGACTTAAACTCTAGGAAATGTGTAGTTGCCACAAGTGGGATTTATCTGGTATTCCTTGTGCTCATGCCATTGTCTGCATCTGGAGTAGGCGTAAGGAACCGGAAGAATATGTTGATGCTTGTTATAAGAAAGAGGCATATTTAAAGATTTAAAACAACCGAATCTATCCGATTACAAACCAAGAAGATTGGCCTCATAGTGGTAACATCCCCATGATTAAACCGTTATACAAAAAGCAAGCAGGAAGGCCCGCTAAGCTTAGGAGACTACAGCATGATGAGCTGATCAATCCGAAGGGAACCAAGATGAGCAGACATTATGTCAAGGTCAAATGTGGTCGTTGTGGGAAAGAAGGACACAACCAGCGTAGCTGTATTAAATTGCAAGAAGCGGCAGAGCAGGTATTATGTATTAACTTACATTTTTTACTTGTAACCGAAATTTAGTTCAGGCATTTTAGTAATCCAATTCCACTTTTTGATTACATGCTGCAAAGAAGAAAACCAAAAGGAATGCCCTACCACCCAAGTCCAATGTTGATCCCACGACGATGACAGCTCAATCAAGCCAACCAATGTCCACCCAACAAAATCCAATAGCAGCACAACAAAGTCCGGTAAGACAACATTTGTTATGCTAATGTGAGAGTGCTACTACCTTATTGTTGTAAGAGTATAATCAAAATTTTTCCTCTTTCTTGTCATGTAGACAAACACTTGGAGGTGTTTCAAGATGACTACTAGGAAAAATGTTATATCGCCATGGTCTTCTCCGTGACTTAATAAAACAACATTGCCAGAGGTTCCACCTACTAGATCAAGCCGCCGAGTTAAGAAAACAGCAGGGAGACTCCTTCTTTTGACAGAAAGCATCATACGTGTGTCTTTTGACAAACATTTACGGACAACTTATATTTTGACACTGTATTCTTAACAATGTGGTGTTTTGAATTCTTAGTTAATGTCAAAGTCCTTTTTGTGATGCATGTTCTCATTGTCAGTAGGTTATCAATTGTTAGTTCATGTCAAAGTCCATTTTGCTATAACATCAATACGACAACAGGCTGAAACATAACAAAATACAAATGACTTTGTCATCAAACTATTTTTCATTGAATCCGCATTGTTCCAATTTGACAGCATTCCAAAACAGAGCTTATATAATACAACATATCATACCTTCACTTCAACAACAATACAACAACAATTAATACACAACAAAATACAAGAAACTCTGCCATCAAACTTTTTTGCATTTTGAGCAATTCAATTTCAGCTTGCATTCTTCAAATTTCATCATCCTTCTCCACAATTGTTGCTTCTAAGTTCTCAACTTCACTCTCTAACCATGCAACATCATCATCTCGATCGAGCCTCCTCAGCAATCTTGGCAGCATTTCATTCACACTAGGATCAATCCACATCCCCTATTACATTCATCCTGGTGAATCACAAAATCAGTGTAAATGGCAGTGGCTAAATGAAGAAAGGGAACTCAACCTAATTTCTGATATTCATGTCTCAATCCAAACTTACACCTAACAAATACAGTATATCCTATTTCTCAAACTCAATCACAACAACGAATATACAAAAACTTTGTATAAGCAACATCCCCAAAACTGTCTTCCCGGATTTAATCGGGTCCTTGCAGTCTTCACAACACATTCTAACTTACAGTGACATCTTGGCTGCACTCTGCTATCAACCTCCTCATTATTTTCTCCTTCCCATCGTCTAGATTTGGGCCCAATATTTGTAAAGCTCTGCGAACACTTCCTACCTCTGCTACTACTGTTGGCCGTCATTCATGAACTCACGCACAGAGTAGTGACCCAGGGCTGTGATTCTTCAGGTCCAATTTAAACAAAATCAGATGCGGCGGAGAAAGGGGATGGTGATTTGGGAATTAGGGCAAACGTCCGAAATGTACACGACAGAAAGGGGAAGGCTGATAAGGGGATGCCAATATGGGCAAAAACGCCAATTCATAGTAGAATAATATTACAAGCATCAGCGTCTTCCGCATGGCACTTATGCTATGTTTGATTGGAAGAAAAGAAAATTGGAAGAAAAGAAAAGAAGATAGAAATGAAATATGAAAGTGATGAAAAATAACAATGATAGAAAAAAAAATTGATTTTTTTTTATGTTGTTTGGTATGAGAAGATGGAAAGAAAATGAGTTTACCTTCACTTGTTTGGTATTGAAAGTTAAATTAGGAGGAAAGAAAAAATCTTACTCGTAAATTACTTTTATACCCTTAAATTTTTTACTTGGATGTTGATGGAGAAAATGATAGTTTAGTAACTTTGTTCACGAGTTGTCTCCATTTTTCATCCCATTTTCTGCCCACTTATAAAAAGAAAAAAAATGGTGGAACCTACATGTATTATTTTTCACTCTATTTTCTCTTCCTTTCTCTTTTCTCTCCTACCAAATAACCTACATTTTCATTTTCTCTCATAAAATTTCTCCACTTTCTTCCTTCCTTATACTTTTCTTTCCTACTAAATATACTATTAACATTCAAATTTTAATTGAGGGGATAAAAAAGAGAAATTTGTGACAACGGTGAATATTTCAAGGGGAAAATATGTTAATTTTAAAGGGGGCATTTTGTTACAACTCCTATTCAGGAGGAATACATGTAATTAGTCCTAGATATTTATATAAATACAAATTATAAAAAAAATATAGTCATACACTAGCTTCGTCCCTCTTAATAAGTCTTAAAAGTTACTCTTTCGGTCAAAATAAATAGTTGACTGAGAGAAGAGAATATGCATTGATCATAAATTTGCAGTTGTTGTGTTCGGTGGTTGCCTTAATTCGGTCCGTTTAATTCGTTGATTTGAGTTTTTAATTTGAGTTGAGATGTAATTTTATGTGAAAATTTTTGTTGATTTGAATTTTTAATTTGAGTTGAGATGTAATTTTATGTGAAAATTTTTTATTGTAATAAAAAAATTAAATGTGATTATTTATGAGAACTTTTTACTGTAACAAAACTCAAATTTTAAACTCAAATAAGCGAAACGAACAGGTACTCGAGTGAATAACTTGGGTGAAGTTTGCATTCGCCGATAGCTAACTCGAACCCACACTCGAAAATTTATTCGAGTCAACCACCCATTCTCGAGTTTATCCTACCCCATCAACTCGAGTTTACTCTAGTACTTATTCCTTCGTGTGCACCTACAATCGCGATTCCTGACCCCATGCTTCAGAGCTCGCTCTTCCATCGCAACTCTCAACTTCTGTTTCGGCATCAGAATCAGTATTATCGCTACCAGGTAGAATTTATCAAAATTGACCCTTTTTTCACCCGAACCATAGTTCGTTGATAAAATTCCAAACTTAAAAAAGCATTTGTTCTTGTAGAGCAGAGAATGAAGTGGAGTGTGACAGAAGATATGGAATTTGACAACAAGAACGATGGGTATCACGCTGAGGAGAAGAATGAAGCATACCAGACAGGGGCAGAGAGCCACCACGAGGAAATCAGACTTGTCATTTTAATTCGCTGTCCTCAATGAGCATGGCGTAGCTCGGCGGAGGAGCGCCGGTGGAGTTGGCCATGATCGGAGGAGGAGGGGGAGCTGGGTTGGGAGTGTGGAATTCGGCAGATGAAGAGAGATAGCTTCGTGGGTTTTCTTAGAAACAGCGACATTGGATCACCATGAATGGCACCGGAGAGGATAATGGTGGTTTGTCGACTGTCGTTTAGTAGGAACGTTATCAATGCAGTGGTTGCTGTAAAGTGTTAGCTGTGAACTAGAGAGAGAGAAGAAGAAGACGATGATGATGACAGCTGATCAGTTTAGCTGGTGGGCTGTATTAAATGCCCAGTATTCCATGAAATGGGCCTGGCCGAGTGTTTGTTCATCTAAAAAGCACTTTCCTCAACGTTTATTTTTTCTCTCCTCAATATTCACAACTCAAGTCTTATTAAATACCTAAACACAACTCAAAAAATTTCTCATCTTAAACCATAACTCAAATTTATACAACTAAATACAAACTCAAATTATAATTTTATTTCAAATTATAATTTAAATTTAACTCAAAACTTACACTCTAACCACACTCTAAAAGAACAAACCCGTATCGAGATAATTCTCATTTTCGGTCTACTAACATATAATTTATCCATTGAACTTAATTAAGTCTCAATTGAGAATTATGCCTTATACTTATTCACATTATACTACTGTTTAGTATAAATGAAATTTCCCTTTAAAAAAAATTGCAACAATTCAAACTGTTGGGCATTAACTTTTTGATAGTCTTGAAATGTAAGGTATACAAATGTAAAACTATTCCTATATCCTCCACAGCCTCACGTGCAACGCACCTGATCAGAACCCCTTGTAAATAAATACCCAACCTCAAAACTGGCGGGAATTTCATTTCTACTCACTCGCTCGCGCTTCTCAAACCATCTCCGGCGAAGAGAGAGAAAGAGAAAGATGAACAACGGCGGAAGAAAACGCCCACCGCCGCCGCCGCAGCCGTCGCCGGCGAATCCTCCGAAGCACCAAGCGGCCTCGCAGGAGGACGAGTTCGTCGATGAGGACGTCTTCCTCGACGAAACCCTCCTCCCGGAGGACGAGGACTCCCTTATCCTCCGTGACCTCGACAAGCGCCACGCCCTCGCCTCCCGCCTCTCCCGATGGGCCCGTCCTCCTCTCTCCGATGACTACGCCTCCGCCTCGCGCAACGTTGGTCAGTTTGTTGTTTTTCTCCCAAATTTCCTTTCTTGCATTGTGCTTGTTTGGCGCTAATTGCATTTCGCCCTAGGGTTCGTGGAAATTTTCGATTTGGTCTGGTTTATGGATTTTGTCGATTGCAGTTTTTCAGCAGTTGGAGATTGATTATGTGATTGGGGAGAGCCACCGGGAATTGCTGCCTAATTCTTTGGGACCAGCCGCCATTATCAGAATCTTTGGAGTTACGAGAGAAGGTGAGTTATTATTATGCATTTTCTGTTATGTTGATGTTTGTTTACTGAGAAAGTTGTGTCATTTTCTTTTTTAATTTACTTCTGAACTCCTAGACTTTGTAAAAATGACACTAAATTTAGCTATACAAAAAGAGCGCTTTGTTTGAGCTGAAAAGGAAGCTACACTACTTCTGGTAAATTTGTTTTCTTCATACAAGAAGTTGACTAAAATAGTTTAAAAGAGAAAAGGATATGGTGGCCAAGCGTTTGGCCTAGGATGACTAGAAATAGAGTTGGATAGAATTCTGGTAGAAATCTTGCTCATTTTTAAGTCTTTTACATGTTCTGTAAATGGCTTTAGCATAAGGGAGCTCTTGTAATTATGTTAAGGGTATCTTGTAGCACTTCAACAAAACTGAAAGATGTTAACTTTTCATTTTGTTTTGGTTTTTTATAGACTTTTCGTTGTTACCGACTTTACCATATAAAAGTAGTATTCTTGGCGGAGAAAAGACTAGGTCTAATTATCTCTTAGTGCATGAAATTCATATGTGTGCAAGTGTTTAAGAGCTAATCTGTGGATGTGATTTGTGCTTTATTTAAACCATGCCAATGGTAATGATTGTAGAGATGATTCCATCTAAATTATCGTAATTTTTTGTTTTCAAGGGTGATTTTGGAACCAGTTTTTAGAGGGAATTTATAAAATGACGGAATTTCTCAAGCTGACAAAATGGCAATGTTTGTAAATCTCAAATTTATTGACTAGGTAAATCTCATAGCTAGTGACTAATAATGGGTGAATCTCATATGGACCAACTAAAATAGTTGGTAAATCTTATAATTACCAAGTAAATTCGAACATTTTCTTTATTATTTGTAAATCAAGCATTTTACCGATACAAAAAAAAGGTTTATTTACTATAACTTCTCCGTTTTCTATAGGACATAGTGTCTGCTGTAATGTGCATGGATTTGAGCCGTACTTCTACATCAGCTGCCCACCTGGAATGGGACCTGATGATATCTCCCACTTTCATCAAATTCTGGAGGTATTGGGTTTTTTCCACTTTACCGGAGCAGATTACTATATTTAACCAGCTTAATGTGATTAATTGTCCTTTTGATCCATAATGTTTCAGAGAAGGATGAGGGAGATGAATAGGAACAGCAAGGTACCCAAATTCATTCGCCGTATCGAGATGGTCCAGAAGAGGAGTATAATGTACTATCAGCAGCAGAATTCTCACCCTTTTCTCAAAATTGTTGTTGCTCTTCCTACAATGGTTGCCAGCTGTCGTGGTAAAGTTTTTACCTTTATTCATGTGCAGTTACTTACTGATATACATGGTCGGGAGATGCTGGCTTTTTTGTTTGAGTTTGTGTTTTTTGAATTTCACTTTGCTTTTGAATTGCCTACTTTTAAGAAAAGGATGGTTTTACTCTTTTTTTTTTCTTTTAAAGGTTACGGATAGCTTACTCTTGGATGTGCATAATATATACGTTAAATATATATAAATACATGTATAGGTATATATATTGTGTTCTTCTACTCTCTATGGTGTAGTATTTTGGATACATGTACTGCTCTTAGTGAGAAATTTATGTGGAGAGCAAAGTATAACTTCATCTCATTGTCCCCGGTTTTTATTTTGTGATCTAATACTGTATCACATAGCCTGTAGTGAATTGAAGTATGCCAATTTTATGCTGCTTTTGGGCCTAATGCTCAAATTGATTGGCAGGTATACTTGATAGAGGCATACAAATTGATGGATTGGGTACGAAGAGCTTTATGACGTATGAAAGCAATGTTCTTTTTGCTCTTCGTTTCATGATTGATTGCAATGTAGTTGGTGGCAACTGGATTGAAGTACCTGCTGGAAAATACAAGAAGACAGCAAAAACTTTGTCATACTGCCAGCTAGAATTTGATTGTCTGTATCCTTAAAGATGATAGGACTATATTGCATGATGCATCTTATAATTTCTTTGGCTTGCTAATCTAATGTGCCCATATAACTTCTGGCGTTTCTATGGTTGGTAGCTCATGATTTGGCTCAAACAAGGAAACCTTGTGCTTAGATTCCATCTTCATGGTGTCTTACATGTCGCAAGATTGACGAGTGTTGACCATTTTTTTTTCTCCCCATAAAGTGGCTGAGATCTGTGGTGGAGATTCTGATAGAGCTAGGGTTCGAGTTGGCATTCCCTCCATTTTGTACATTTTTATTCACTGAAAAGGTTACGGGTTTTGGAACAAGTAAAAGAGTGGTGGTATTTTGAAAATATGTTGTCTGGGGAGGTTATACGGCTCGGACCAAATAGTATAATCTTTTAGGATAAACTTCTTTCTGGGTTTTGTCTTCGAGCCAGTCTATAGACACTTCAGTCTTTTTTAAATATTGAGTTGTTAGGATGTTGCTCAGACAGGCACATGCACATATTGCTTTTCCCTTTTGATTTTGTTTCTGTCTTGATTTTGTATTACTTATTTACTCCTTTGTTTTTGTTGTATTCTTTGATTTGATTATCATTGTGCAGAAAAAGATGCTTCATTCCTGATATACCTTTCCTTAACAATTGCTCTTAGATATTCGGAACTGATCAGCCATACACCAGAAGCAGAATTTTCAAAGATGGCTCCTTTTCGCATATTGAGTTTTGACATTGAATGTGCTGGTCGTAAAGGTCATTTTCCTGAGCCTGGCCATGATCCTGTCATCCAGGTCGGACCTGTTCATCTCATCTAGTGAACCAAAAATTTGCTAACTGCCCAGTGTGTTGGTCACTCTGTTTAAAAAATAATACTGAAATTGTTCCTTTTTTGTTTTTTTCTTTCATAGGTTGCCAATCTAGTTACTTTACAGGGAGAGAGCCAGCCATTTATCCGTAATGTCATGACCCTTAAATCATGTGCTCCTATAGTTGGTGTGGACGTGATGTCCTTTGATACGGAAAGAGAAGTCTTGTTAGCTTGGAGGGTATTGTTTTTTATTACTTATTTTTACAAAAAGAAAACTGTTGCTGTTCTATTAAGGTATTTTGTCGCATGAATAAACCGTTCTCAAGGACTGAATCGTTTTTATCTTGCCTGATTGATCTTCATTAGTTACTAAAAGGATCTATAGGAGAGGATTTTTTTCCATTTCTTTTCTAATGTTGGTTGCTCTAGCGCTATACTATCTGTCTGTCTTTTTGTTTGATTTATTTTAAGCTTATGCATGATGTTTGTTAGTTCAGGCTTCATGAAATCTTATTTTGGTGAACATGCATAGAAGTTGTTGTACTCTGTAGCAGATGATATTTATTTTTATTTGTTGATTTTTGCATTTAAGTTTAGAGTCTGAAATTTTTTTTTTTCTTACAGGATTTTATTAATAAAGTTGACCCTGATATCATTATTGGTTATAACATTTGCAAATTTGATACGCCATATCTCATAGAGGTAACTGATTTATTTTAATCTCCTGCTGTTTCTATGCAGGTTTTCACAGTAAAATTCTCTATTTATTGTAATACTCATCATTAAGCTTTAGTTTTGATGGCAGATCATATTTTAATCTGTTCTAAATTCCTGAGCAAGATGCCTGTGATCACCTAAAAACATGATTGACATTAAACCAACAAGTATAATAAAACAGCATACACCCTAACAATTTCTAGAACAAAACCACAGAGTGGGGAGTATTATATATATTTTGTACGAATGTATATGTATGTGTGTATGTAGATTGAAAATCCTGGGAGTAGGATATTTGGCAATACAATGCTAGATCAATCTTATATCCCACGTCTCTTCTCCGGTATGAGATTCCTACTCTTACTAGGAAAAGGTGACCAAGAGGAATTGAATTCTTTATTTCACTCCAGAACATAAAATCAACCCATACTTTTGGCATATGCCTATTTTAACAACAAAACTACAATTTGGCAATCCTGGTTCCTTCCTGCTATCCAAATGTAGCCCCAGGTTTTGGAACGAATATCTGAGTCTAGTCAAAATGCCATTTTGTATGTGAGCATATTTGGTCATATTTGCTGCTGAGATAATTGAATGTAATGTTTTGGTACACAGAGAGCAGAGACCTTGGGAATATCAGAATTTCCAATATTGGGTCGCATCAGAAACAGTAGGGTTCGTGTCAAAGATACCACCTTCTCTTCAAGGTGATATTTACTACAATAAGAATAAATTACTTCAGCTCAATTGTGTATACACTCCCCAAAGTTTAGATAGGTTGACGCTATTATCAGAAATTATAAACCTTGGTAATTATTTCCTCTAATTTAGGATTGTGTTGGAACTGAAGACAATCGGGAGCTTTCATTTACATCATTATTAATTAAAACAAAGTAACTGAAGATCCATGAGTATGTTACATGCCCACTAAAAAATAATGCGATTGTCTCTACAACCTCTTGCAGTAATTTTACGGCCACATGGATCTGTTATGTGAATTTTCTAAAGTTTTCTTTTTTGTTTGTTTGTTTTGTTTTTCTTTCCTGAACCACTTTTAATAACATTTGGCTTGTTTACAGACAGTATGGGACCCGGGAGAGCAAAGAAGTAACAATTGAAGGGAGAGTCCAATTTGATTTGCTCCAGGTTCTTTTTTGTCTATTTATTCTTTCCATAGCATCTCTTATTCTCTTTGCAGCTACACTTTCATGGGTCAACAAGGTCTCTGTTCATAATGCTCTATTGGCATCTCAATCAGTTTGTAGTCTTTTTTTTTATTATTTTTTAATTTTTTTTTTTTAAATTGTAGGCTATGCAACGGGATTATAAATTGAGTTCATACTCTTTGAACTCTGTCTCGGCGCATTTCCTTTCTGAGCAGGTGAGGCTTTGGGTTCCATCTGCTATTAGTAGTACATACAACTCTCTTATTAATAGGTTTATTGCGTATCACAGATGCATGCAATTGCATCAAAATGTGTTTTTACTTTTTTGGCAACGTCTTTTTAAGTTTTATTGATGATAAATAGAGCAATTAGGTTGTTGAATGAGGTTGGTATTCCATGATGATTCATCACCAACCGCACCTCATCAAAATAAGAAAAATTATCGTTTTCCTTCTCTTTTATTTTTAGCTTGATATATTTTGTGTTAAACATTGTTTATCCGTTGATTTTTTCTACACAGAAAGAGGATGTGCACCACTCAATAATTTCTGATCTCCAGAATGGGAATGCGGAAACCAGAAGGCGACTCGCCGTATATTGTCTGAAGGTGCATTTCTTTTTTTTTTCTTTTTTTCTTTTTTTTTTTGTAGAAACAAAATTTTATTGAAGTAAAGAAAGTTACATAGAAAATAAAAAAATAAAAAAATAAAAATCTGAGGACAATAAGTTCCCAAGATAGTACACAGAGGACCATTGAAACTGGAATAAACAAAGCACACTAAAAAAAAAAAAAAACCCAAGTGGTCAATTGATCTGTTGGTTTGCTCCCTCATTGTTTAGGGTTCTAATCCTCAGTCCCACCGACCTAGTGAATAACTACAAAGTTTCAAGCCTCAAAAAGATTGTTGGATTTGTTGAAGACTCCAGTTTTCAACTTCGAGTATGCATTGAGAGGGGTTAGAGGATTTATGGGTCATTAAAAAAAGTGACAAAAATAAGCCTATATTGTATTTCCTTTCAGGATGCTTATCTTCCACAGAGGCTTTTGGACAAACTGATGTACATTTACAATTATGTGGAGATGGCTCGAGTTACAGGTGTTCCCATCTCTTTTCTTCTATCGAGAGGGCAAAGCATTAAGGTCAGTATGAAAATTTTGGCGATAATGAACTTTGACAACTGTGCAAAATGATAAAATTGGTAGACTTTAGGATTTTAATTTGCTGCCTCCAGGTGCTTTCTCAACTTCTTAGGAAGGCAAAACAAAAAAACCTCGTTATTCCAAACGCCAAACAGGCTGGATCAGAACAAGGAACATATGAAGGTGCCACTGTAAGTTCCACTTCTGTCCTTGTGCTGCTGAACACAGCATTTTCATGCTTGCTTTTGTAGGAGGGACTATATATGCTTTACTGAAGATTCTGTGTTGTGGCCTTGATTAATATTTTGGGATTTGAGGTAAAACTAACAAGACAATCTTACCATGAATTCTGAAGAAAATTTATGAATTTGGTGAAAGTGTAGAGGCTCTAAATTGTCTCCATTAACTGTGGTTTCAATTTTTAGCTAGACATTGAGGCCTTTTTTTCTCACCCCTGTTTCTTTCATGCATCTTATAATTTTGTTGTGAAATTTATAAACCTCAGGTTTTGGAGGCAAAAGCGGGATTTTACGAAAAACCTATTGCAACATTGGATTTTGCATCTCTGTATCCATCAATTATGATGGCGTATAATTTATGTTACTGCACTTTGGTAAATATTCTTACAATTTTCATACTTTCCTCATCCATTTATTTATTTTTAAGCTTGTTAAATGCAGTCTCTTCCAAAATTGAGAGGCTTTGGCAGGAGTTTTTTAACCTCTTGTTTCTCTGTTTGAAGGTGACACCTGAAGATGTACGTAAACTCAATCTCCCTCTAGAGTGCGTTAACAAAACTCCCTCTGGTGAAACATTTGTTAAGTCAAGTTTACAAAAGGTAAGTCTTCTAGTAACGTAATTAAAATTTTTGTCTTTCTTCCTTTCCTTTTGTTTTAAAGACAGCGCTTCTTGAAATAATTATTTTGTGAATGTCACGTAGCTTGAAATGATGAAATAAAACGGAATCTATAATGATTTTGTTTCAGGGAATACTTCCTGAAATCCTTGAAGAACTTTTAGCTGCTCGTAAAAGGGCAAAAGCAGACTTAAAGGTCATTACTCGTTTCAGTAATTCAATGCAGTTGTTTTCTGTTTCTTCATTTTAGTTTATTTGTTTGCCTTTTCAGTTAATTCATTTATTTGTAGCTTATAACGTTACTTATTGCTTCTATTATTTTCCTTTTATTTTTATGTTCCAGGAAGCAAAGGATCCCCTTGAGAAGGCAGTGCTAGATGGCCGACAGCTAGCATTAAAAGTATACTTTCATTTAATCTTCCCTTTTTTTGTGGTATTTTAGGTTTTAAGATGTAATTAAACGAGCTCCTTATCTTATTTTCTCTGCTCTAAACTTGATGACGTTCTTGTCCTTCTAGATAAGTGCAAATTCTGTGTATGGGTTTACTGGAGCTACTGTTGCTCAGTTACCATGTCTAGAGATCTCTTCAAGTGTTACAAGCTACGGTATAAATTACTTTGTGAACTAATTAATTATCCTCCGAATGTTCTGAAAGAAAATTTCTATTGAGTTATGCTTGATCACATGGATTTGCTGCTTTGTGAAGGTCGACAAATGATTGAGCATACAAAAAAACTTGTAGAAGACAAATTTACTACACTTGGGGGCTATGAACACAATGCTGAGGTGTGCATCTAGATTTTCTCTTGCAATGCTGTTCAGTCTTTAGTCATGCTATGGCTGATATGCTTACGTGTGGCATGGCTTTCACTCCTACGATCTTTAGGTATATAATGTTTAGTAACTTTGAAAAAATGACTAATCACCCAAGTAGGGTTCCGTTTCTAATCTGGTTGTATTAGCGTTCAAGAACAAGTGAACATTTCATATAATGCTCATCATCTATAAATTAATCGATTCTCTAAGGCCGTTTATTTTCTTCTCGATCCTAAGTTTGTTGTTTGAGAATAGAAAAGTCAACTTTATTTATTTGAAGTTCTTTTACATCTTATAGATTTCTAGTAGTTTTTTTTTTTTTTTTTTTCAAATAACTTTGAGCGTAAGCAATGGCTTTTTATTTTTTTTCCTGAAAACATGCCTTTGACGTTATATATATATATATATATATAT